ACCACGCGGCTGACTAATTTGGACAGCGCTGTCTTCCAGAGAGAATATGGCGTCTGTCAGCGAGTCGCTGACATTCAATCTTGGGTACTCTCTTGGCTCTTGAGACACGTTGTAATACGTTGCAAAGCGCGCGGGTCTCCAGAAGCCAAGACTCTTGGTTGTCTCCGAGCCCGTTCTTGGCTTTGTGGAATCTTCGAACCCCTCCAAGATCCTATGGGACTGGGTCCAAGATAGCCGACATGGTGCCAACTCTGTCGCCTGTCTTGCAACATTTGCCATCCATGTCGCTGTCTCCAAGACCCTCGAGTCCGACTAAGACGTCCGCTAATACGCATACAGAATTCGTACTCGTCGGTCCATTTCATGCTTGCGTCGTCAAAATACCTCATTTCTTTTACTGCAACCCACCTAGTTCTCTTCATTGTGGCGCTCGTGGCGTGCCAGGTTCGCGTTTGGTACCCTCGCAGGAGTCGAGTCTGTCATATGAACGTCTATAATGTCACCTCACCATTCCGTTTTCCCTCGAGGCCGTTCGACCATCGCGGGTGGGCGCGGCTAGGCGGTCTATTCAACGCCCTCACGACTCCATCCTCGTGCGCCTCTTCTGCCCGCCGCTAATCCGCATTCGAGCCACGATGACTGGCTGACGGTGGCGGGGGTCGGCTGCCATGCTTCCGTTAAGCAGACACTCGAAATTTAGCACGGCTATTCGGAGGACCGAGATCTTGAGAGGTCCACCATCCTGCTTACTGGCTCAATAAGCGGGCTCCTGACCAAAGGCAGGTCTCTTTATTTTTGGGAAGTAATCACTTTTCGGTCTGTAGGCCGAAAATACACATGGACGCAAAAACGTGGAAGTCGCGAAAGGACTTGCCAATCTCGTTTGGCTACCTGTAGTCATCTCGCTCCGAGAACTCTTCGGCCTCACCTTTGGTTAACCCCGGAGCACTCTACAAAGGTTCAGCCGTTTATGAGCTCCACCGTCCGCAACTTCCGACTCAACCGGCCGTTTCTCCCGTTTCTCGGCGCCCTTCCCCCTGCATCCAGAACGTTTCGTTTCCTTGCAGCCTCGCAAGAGCGCACTGTTCACCACGGGGACAGTGGCGGACAGGGCCGTTGCTCCACTGATCTCCTCCGTGCCATCACATCACGACTGCACTTTAATTCAGACGCGACTGGAACTCCCTTCTCCTGACGAGATCTCTAGATCCAACTTCTCCGTGGTATCATGGCAACTCCTTTACAGCTTGACGAACCAACATCTTGAACCTGAAACCTCACACAGTCACGTCACAATGTTTGGGGATCTGCAATGCCACGCCGGTGACATTTCTAGCGCTACCGACTTTGGGCAGCTTCAGTGTTACAGATCCGGGTAAATTTCTCAGGGGCAATCGGGTAATAAGGTCCCTCTCCGGAATGCTGAATCTGACGGTGCCGGCCATCGGTGCCTATTCAACGGTTCCTTGCGCACGACTCAAGCTCGGAGCAGCCTCGTCCCTGGAGCCGTCGACGGGCGCACACGGAGCTCCGTGTCCTGAAGATTCAATACACACTTCCCTCAGGTCTGAACTTTGAATGCGAAAGTGTGGGAACAGGGCTGCGGAATCTCCGTTAGGAAATAAGCTCCTTGTACGAACACCTGAATCGCAAATGTCGCAACCGTCGTCAGCTTTCGAGGCTTGTAACAACCGCTTTCACGATGGCTTCAGGCACGAAGACTTGTCACACGAGTTATGTGAGGACCTCGACACGTTGGAACTAGATCAATGCTTCAATTCATCAACCAGAACTTCGGCTGGCGGGCCAGGGAGAAGGACCAACAACATGGTCAGGCCAAGACAAGCACTACCGGCAACCTTGCACGCAATCTAACCCCCTGAGCCGATCGCAAACATTGACATGGGACGAAGTCCTCGTGTTCGATGGCGTCTCAAATATTCCGCGCCGCCCGCAGATTGTCTGATCAGGCATGACTTGTCAGAGACACCAAAGCCAATTCCTCCTGAGTGTCGCGTTGCGGGCGACTGATGAAGATGACGAGCTGAGATTCGTTTCCTTGGGGTCTCCAAGCGAGGGGAAACTTCCCGTTTCAAACGGCCACTAAGCCTTAGCCTACGTTTCAGAGCACAGCGCACTGACCACAGCCTCTGCGAATCCCTCCAGTTCCCAGCTGTCCTTGTTGCTCAACTTTGTTGGTCTCCAGGTTTTCATCCCCAGACGACCCAACAAACCCACTACTACGTGGAGGATCACCCTTCTTCGCGAAGCCCTACATTTGGGGTTCGTCCATACTTTTGTCAGTGTGTCGGCGATCAAACCGAGCATTACATCCTTGAATGATAGCAATGATTACCTCCTGAAGTACAGGGACTAATTGCAACTTTGGAAACCCCTAACAGTTCCATCGTGCTGCGTAGTGCCTTTGGAGCGACGAAGACGGCAGGTCGAAATTGAGCCTGTATCACTGATCATAATTCCAGCCTCCCGAGACGATCATATCTGGAAAGTCAGCTTGACCAACGAGGCGCAGTCTGCCGAATCAGCTTTTTCCTTTGCTGGGAGATCGTTGGACCGTGGTCTTTTTTCTTCCGGCCGGTTGACCCAAGGGAGCGGTACCTTGTGTTTGTGACCGTCTGATCGACATCAAGCATTCAATTCACATTGTCAAATACGCCTGCCTCGGTCGACAGCACAGCTTCTGGAGACTGCAGTATGCTTGCGACTCACAAGAATGGGGTCTTAAACATGGCCAAGAGACGTGCCGCAATCCTGCATTTCTCACCGTTTTCTGGAACTTTCAAGAGATTACGGATGGGTATGCATGCTGTCATGCTGTCCAGAGACCGATGTTCCCCCCATAAGAGCTTTCGACGCTACGTGCGGCGCAGAGGAGGTCTGGCAGAGTAGCACACCAAGCTTTCTGACCCCGAAACTACAAGCCGAAGCGGCTCCGATGGCATCTCGACTGTACTTTCCTCTCCTCTACGTCTTCTACGTTGCTCGGACTCTTTCCGAGATACATTGTTCTGAATCAGTTGGCTGTGAAGAAGAGATTGTCTCTAAAGAGGGGCTCGCACATGAGGCCGTCACAACCATCACGCGATTCTACGGTCCCAACCCCCTCTTCCCAAGTACACCAGACGGCCAGTTCATGTCACACAGGCAGAAAGTCTTTCCGCTTCCAGCAGGACGCAGACGGACTAAGGCATAGCCGGCCGTAGGTCATCTGCAGATAATCGACAAAGTATTTTCTCCAATTTCAGCAGGCTCTCTCAACTATCGCGGCAGTGGAGCGCGGCGGCCGCATGGCGTTCTTCGAGCCAATCACCCACGCTCGTCATCTGAGCATGGGCGCTTACGTCGCATGCCAACGTTGGACTGCCTACTGCAATGCTGCATTGCTGCAGTGTAGGTATCACGACAGAGTGTGTGTCGTCCCTCAGCGCACACTATTGACCTCGCTTCCACCGCCTACAGCCGCGGTCTGCCGAGCTTGCTTTCCATTAACGCGCTAGCGATTGTCAGTTGGAGTCTCGTCTGTTCCTTTGACCGTTTAACTTGCTTGGCCTACTAGGCCTCGAGGAGGGTCGGGCGTGGAATGCGCTTCTCGGCTACGTTGGACATGATGCGGTGAGGCGACGGACGTGCTGTTGGCGCTAGCGACGCGGATGTGGGATGTTTGCTGATGATTGACAGTCTTGACGCTGTTGGAAGCCGGACCGGATGGACAGGAAGGTGGCCAGCGTGGCAGTTTGAACCATGGCTTGGCCCTCACATGATTGATTCTATCTGCACCGGCGAGGCGTATTTCGAGTTGCTTGGAGTGTTGGTCCGCAATCGAGCTGCAAGAGTCGAAGGACATAGAGGCTTCAGGCTCCCTACTGTGGCTATTGAGGTCGTTCAAATGGCCGCGAGGCAGCCTTGATGCGTTTGACACTTTTGTCTCCGTATGAGAAGCTTCAGGTCATCGAGCAAGAGAATGTCCAAGGTACGTCGAGGCCTCGGTCGCCTCATGCGTAGTTGATTCCTTGGTTGCGTTTGACGAGCCCAATAGGTGCCGTATGCGGGCCACCATCTCCGGCGATGCGTGTAAGCCAACTTTCTTTCTTGACAGGTGAGCCTTTGCTGTGAACCCCGCCATTTATATTTGGCTCGTCGTGGGAGTGGTGGGCTTTTGAAGGATGAGGTGTGTGTGCTGACCGGACTTGTTGGCAAAAGGTATGGGTTGAGAGATGCATGATCCTGTTTACAACACCAAGGGCAGGTTCAATCCCTTGAAGGCTCCATATTGACTTTCAGTAGAGAACGAACTTTCCATTGCACCCATCAAGAAGCAATTCATTACCCTTCGTGAATGCGCAAGATTGTCTTAGCGGCAGTAGACCAGACCGCTGCACAGTGGTGCGCTGAGGCTTATTGGCCCCCGCTCCGACATCCCTATATAGAGCAGCATGCCGTCTCTACACTCAACCAACTATCACTGGATGCACACATCCACCAATCCCCGATAGTCTAGTGGTGAGGATATCTGCTTGTCATTGAGAATTCAACGATTCGCAGGGGACCGGGGTTCAATTCCCCGTCGAGGAGTTTCTTTTGCCTTTTTGCATTATCTTTGGATCCTTTTCTGATTCATGAGTATTTCTGCATGATTTTTTTGAGGTGCAGACGACATGGTGCGGCGCTGTGGAGGCGCATACGGTGCCGCGGATACTTGCGAGTCCCCCCAACAAGTACATCCACGGCAGGTCCTTGGGGATATGCAAGTATCGAATCGAGTGCAAGATGCCACATTGGCTCTATTTAAGATGATGTTCTTTGATGGGTGGGGGCGAAGAATAACCTTTTCACTTTCAGGCTGTGCTGTTCGCCCTAAACGTTGCCCACTGCTCATGCATCCGCTTGACTTGTCCAGGTGTAAACTCGTTCCAACAGTTGCTACAGATTTTGTCAGCGACATATATCTAACTTGCCGGCACGTCTCCAGGTGATAATACTTACTCTGCTTGATAATTCATAAAGTTGTAAAGAGAATCCACGCCCGGCAAATCGGGACACGTATCCTGCCCAACCGTGCAATTCCAAGAAGGCGTCGCCTGCGCAGGCGTGTCATCGACAAAATCCGTTCCCGTACACCCTCCCTGGAAGGTATGCGGCAGCCCGAACCAGTGGCCAACCTCGTGGACCGCCATGTACCCGCGATCATTCCCCGTAGGCGAGTTCGCGCCGGGGACCGTGTTGGCGTCGATCTGGCACCCGTCCAGTATGAACGTCTCTGATCCGCGGAAGGCGTCTGCTTCCGGGTAGAAGCACCGGCCTAGGGTCGGGTGGATGGCTTGCACGTAGATGTTGAGGGATTGGTAGTTGCCCTTGCGGAGCGCGGATTTCATGGCGAGCTCGTCGGTTGGGTTTGTAACTGTTGACCAGGTTGCGTTTACGGTGCGGGAGGTGCCGCCTAGGGTCATTGTGATGCCGTATTTGCTAAAGGTGTTGTGTAGGACTTGAAATTGCGCTTCGAGGGTGGCTTGCTGGGGCGTAGGTTAGTCCAGCAACCTTGGTGTTTATACACGGAGGGTGCTCTTACAGTCAAGAGAGCTGTTTCATTGGGGGCGATTGAATGGAGATAGACCGGAACGGAAATGTTGGCTGCGAGGAGACTGCCCCCGCTGCTCATGTCCCTGCTGGCTAGCGATCTGGCGATGTGCTTGTCGCTGCGGTCAGGGGTTCCGCAGAACGAAGTTTGAGAGTGCAGGGATGCCTGTGTCTGTGCCAGTGAGGCACTGAGGAGCAGAGAGAACAGCATCGCGACGGCTTTTGAGCGGTTCCTGCGACGGTAAAGACTGTTTCGAGCCAGGCGAGGGCAGGATCTTCTAGTGATTGTTGATGTTTATTTTGGAAATCGAAGAAAGATTCAACCCGGGGTATTAGGGGATAATGGCAGACGCGTTGCCGCTTTGCCAAGGCTTTTGAAGACTTCGTATTCTCATTAAGATAGATTGGTGTAGGGGTTGATTAGCACCCTATTGCAAGGATGTTTCTTAGGGAAGGTGGCAGAGAACGAACCCGAGTTGGGTCAGAATATGACGTCGCTTCACGAAGATGATGCGATTTGAACATCTTCCATTACAGGTTGTCGACTTATTGTACCTAAGATAGATGCGAGATGTTTTGGATGTATTTGTCAGAGCTCCCATGGATTACCGCCGAGTGCAGCAAGAAATGAACTATTTGTGGTCTAAAACTCTAACAGATTACCCTCGATCTCGATGAAGTGCAGCGAAGCCGGTCGTTCCATTCCCTAAACGGGAAGCTATCTTGCGTTCAATATACAGAGATGATGCGTCAATCGCTTTTTACTCAGAATATTAAATCAGACATGGGCCTACCCAAATAATTCGAATGTTCAAGTTGATGACAAGTAAATCGCAGAGAAAACCTAAGACAAAGCCAACGACCATTCCAACTTTCGGGTCTTTCCGTCAACCAAATTCGATAAGACATCGACCCAATACGGAAAGTAGTGAACGTTCAAGGCAAGAACGACAAGAGCTTCAGACAGATGCTCTCAGATCGCTCTGAGCCGAAGACCGAAGTTCAACTACGTTCATCCTTCCATGGTCCGTACAATCAATGTTGATTGGCCAAATGGTTCAGCTCAAATAATAGGAAAAAACACCAAATGACTGGGAATGGGAGATATGGTGCGTTTCAAAGCATGATACAGGCGAGACGTGTTGAATTGCCGGGGCATAAGAACGTGTAGGCTGCAAGTGAGATTCTGGCTGCAATGGAGCTCATGATAAACTAATCATGTGAATTTCGTCAAGACAGACCGGCTTAACCGTGTGAGACTGACGAGGCAAGCCTCTCGGTCATAATTATGAAGTGGTTGCCATCCGTTTCTTGTAAAGCTGTGTGGGTTTCAATCCCCAAGAGCATACACTCAGATTACCCTCATCACATAAGTTCGGACCGCCTTATTTCAGCCAAGATGAACAACAGTGGACGCAGAAGCTCACATATCTGTCTTAGAGCGACGCCTCATCGATTCGCTTCGAGGCAGGCTGTGCAAGGATGGGGATCCCTCGGCTTTCGGCAGCCTGCTGCTCATCATCATCGTCCAGCCTGGTCTCACTCCTTCTATCTCTCAACCTCGCTCTACCAACAGTTCTAGACAAAGGCGATATGGTCACCTGGGATGAAGACATCAACTTCGCGAGCGCTTTGCTTCTGCACAGTTGCTTGACCGTTCTCATCAAAGAAGTCCTCAACCTATTCACCATCGTCATCAGGCTGGCGCCCTTCCGCCGCAAGGTTCAACCTGGAACCGCAAATGCCCGTTCCGTTCTCCTAGATGGATACACTTCAATCCTCTCCAACGACAACGATGGCGACCTCGCGGAGCTGTACTTCACCAACACGGGCCTCCTTCTCCTGAGCGCATCTCTCGCCTCCGCCATCGCCATGAACCTCTTCCTATCCGACATGGTTTTGAACGTTTTCGTCGCTTGTACGTTTGGATTCTGCTTCGTGATGTCTGTTTTCTCGTGTCGTCGAAGCTGGTTGCGGTTCATCCTCGCTCTACGGCGAGCGGGACGGTTCGTGTGGTCCGACACGCCGTTTGTCAACTTCTTCTCCCTCATCTACGTTGCGGTGGTGTTGAAGAGTCCGACGACCATGAGGCTAAAGGACTATGTGACGCTGAGGAGTATCGCTATTATCGAGCTGGTCTTTATGAAAGCATATATTGCGGCGGCGAGCATGGATCGTCAGATTGAGCTGTTACGTTCTTTGAATAAGTCTCGGCTTGTGCTTTTCCAACACGGAGGAAAGGTATGATTTCATTTCCCTTGATTATCAATGTCCGGTTATCCTTGAGCACCCTCCTCCCAAGACTCATTTTTCAGGGCAAGGTAGTTCGCGAGGAGAAACCCCTGACTGATGTGACCACTGCAGACACAGGAGATCGAAACTATTGAGTCTCCTCGCCTCGAGAGAAACTCAATTGTTCCCTTCACTACTGCGCAGAGGATGTCGGTTATGCTCATCAAGACGACCGTTGGACACGACTTTGGATCAGTCAGGGGCTCGAAAGGACCGGGTAGTATCCCTGTACCCCATATAGGCTTCTTTACGAATGATAACGTGGGTTCGGGAGACTGGCGTGTCTATCGCCTACAGGAGGACGTCATGCTGATTGCCGACAACCTGCGTGCTACGTCTCCAAAAGAGTGGTGGAAGAGGCTGATCGAAAAGATGCACGGTATTTTCCTCCAGCAGCTGAAGAAAGTGCGCGTTGTTTACCTCTTGAGAGTGGGTCATAGATTTGTTGGAGGCGATTCTTGCGAGAGGGAAGTCTCACTCTGGGTGTCGAATGTGAACCTCGTGACTGGTGTTAGTAGCTCTCTTCTAGAGTCTTACACATTTGTCGAAGACGGAGACATTGATGATGGTAGAGTTCTATAGAGTAGAGCTAGTCACAAGAGGAAGCTTGGGCTGCGATGGTTTCGTCAATCGATCAGCTGTGATGTAACTACTGTAGCTTCGTCTAGGATTCTGTGGTGTAATACTGTGTAACTGAAAGGTAATGAAAATTTGTTTTTCTTCATTGGCACAGAAAACCGGTTGATCGACGAGTTGGCTATTCCGTCGGGAATGTAAGCCTGTGGCTATGGTCCAATTTCTATGAACTCTAACCAGGTTGCCGTGTCAGAAATAAATTGAGTGGTACACCAGAGTGATCAAAGCCTCAAACACAAAGCCGTCCATACTTTCCGAGCTGCAACTCTCTCGTAATGCGGATCATATTCCTCGTCAATAGAGCATATAAGAACCCAACAAAACTATTGACCTTCGTCGTAGCCGCCAACTTCAACCAAACTCACTACAACTCTACCAAACAAGACATTAAAATGCAAGTTAACAAACTTCTTATCGCTGCGGTCCTTGGCTTCGCGACCACTGCTCTGGTAAGCCACCAAATCAGTCACCCTTGTTGAAGTCAGTCCACTAATGTACGTGCCGGAATGCTGAGTAGGCTCAAGACGGTAAATGCACTGCCAAGGGAGAATGTCAGGAAAACACCAGCGGCGTCCGCCTGTTTTGCTCCTCAGGCAGCTGTGACGGAAAGGAAGGACAGTCTTGCACGAGGAACGGTCCTGGGTCTTCCAACGTGGCTAACTGCCCTAAATAATTATCCATCTGATATTAGGGGTCGCCGCGATTATATACGAATAGTGCGCCCACTTGCGCAGGGTCTCAGGTCGTATCTATGACTCTTATCTGGTTGAGATGAAAAAGGTGCGGCAAGACGCCCGCTACGTGGACACAGTGCATGTTGTGGTGCCTTCAGTTAGTATCAAATTTGAATCCAACAGAAGTTTTGGACAGTAAAACCTCTCTCTCTGGTGTTGATGTGCTTCAGAAGACAAGCAGCCTAGGGCTCAGCTGATTGACACGTTACGCCATGCTGGTGACACACTTTCAGTCCTGCCCACCACAAGACATCACATTCAGTACAGCAAACAAACTTACTTTGATCCATGCTGATTATCGAGACATACCGGCACACGTCAGTTCGGTTGCAGATTTTCTCCCTCTCTTTCCGCCGCCAAGCCCATAATTAATGGTGGTTATCTCAACTTATGCTAGATGACCTGTAGCAGAGTAACACAATGCTCAAGTCCGCTCAAGATTTTATCATCTCCTTTCAACATGCTGAGAAACGCACAATACATGGTCAGGGTAACGCAGGAACTTGGCCATGGATTTGAAATACGATATTTTACGATTTAGTTACGCGAGGTCAAACAGGAGAAGATCTGAGCAGTAAACTAATAGAGAAGAAACAACATAGGCGTGAGAGATAATTGGACATCAAATGGTGATAGTCTCTTTGGGAAGCGGCAAGACCTTCTTTCCACACGTGTAAAACTCATACTTAGCGTCCTTGGAATGGTCCTCCAGCACTGGGTTGGATACACCGATAGCTCTTGCTCCTCTGTCAATCATATCGTCGCGATACTCGCCAATGTGCTTCACCACATCAGGACCATGTGCTCCAGCATTGCGGATGCTTGTGATGGCTTCGCCCAGCCTCAAACCATCTGTAAGTGCACAAACACCGGCCTCTCCTCGGACTATGGAAGCGGATTAGCTTTGACTTCCCTTCAATCCATGAGCGCGTACTTACATGGCGTCATCGAGTGAGCGGCATCCCCAGCCAGAGTGATCCTGCCAGCAGGCAGTTGATCGACTGTCAATTGCACACTCTGTAGCACAATACCTGGCTTCTTGTATCTCTCAACAGGCACCTTATCGACTAGCACGCGCAGATTGTCAGGATAATTCTTGGTGTTTTCCTTCGCAAATGCCATCAGCTCTTCTCTTGAGGCAGTAACGGTCCAAAACGGCCTCTCTTCCGTGCTGTTGGCGGCTTCCTGATCAATCCAGTGGAGAATGAAATAGAAGTACCCGGTCTTCTTGTCTGGGCTGATCTTGTTCATGGCGGCGAAGAGGCTTGCTTGCCATCGGTTCTCCGGCGATGAGTCCAAGACGATGTAGGCAGAATGACCCAATTCAATCTGATGCTTCATTTCATTACCCTCGAGTTCGATCTCGCCGACCAACGAGCCCACAGGGAGCGGCGTCATAACATCTTGCCCGCCCAAGATGTGCCGACGCACCAAGCTCCGGCTTCCCTCAGCTCCAACAAGGATGTCCCCGGTCTCCGAGCTTCCATCCTCAAAGTACGCCACCACTTTGTCGTCTTGCTCCTCAAGTCGAACTAGGCGCTTATTGAACTGCACCGGCAGATGTTGTAAGAGCCAGTCACGAAGACGCTGGCGGTTGGCACGAACGATCTTTCCAGTCTCATCGTCCGTGACACCGACTCGCCACGATGGCTTGCTGACATCGTAAAAGACGAACTGCGCCGGGATATGATTGAGGGGGTTCAGATGGTTGGTTTGCTCGATCGGACCGAGGTCTGCGGGCATCGAGGCTGATAGTTCAGCTAGTAGGGGGCCATGTAAGGCGATGGCCCATCCCTGAGCTCTGGCGTCGGCTCTACTGTCCCTTTCGAAGATGGAGAAAGAGATGTTGTTCTTGCGGAGTATCTGAGCAAGTGTTAGGCCGCTTAGTCCGGCACCGATAATGAGAACATGAGGATTCGACTTGGGCGACATGATGTTCTTTTGGACGTAGAAGTAATGAATGAGCACGAATGATCATCTGAATTGAAATTGCCGGCTGTCCTCTTCGTTGTCGACCAAAGATTTATATACATTTTGAAGACCTGGAGTCTGTCTATGAATGAGATGCAACTTGTACCCTTGTCAGTTGCATCGGTCACAACGTTGAAGAGATGTACGTGGTGGATCATTCCCGGTCGGATTCGTTCATGATTCGCGTGAAACTAGCGGCCACCACTCCGTCGGCCCACCTTGATGAAGCGCTGGAGACACCCGTGTTGCCGATCCATGAGTTCCCGCCTACTGGGCGCATTGATCATGTGCAAGGGTCGGAATCATTAAGGTCTTTCGATCCCCCAGTTACCTTGTATGTAGCGTCCTCCGGTTCTCAGTCGCCCTTTCTCTCAGCGCCCCGGGTGGTAAGGTACTTCAGAAGCACGTAATAAGCAATGATACCAATAAACACCAACAACCAAACCAGCAGTCGCATATGCGCCCAAAAGTTCCGTACGCGAATAGAGTGTTCTCGCTCCACAGGTTTTTCATAAAGCTCAAGATCTGCTACCCGATTTTCAATATGAATGCAGTACTAGCTATGGCCGTTCAACAATGGTCTCGATGGTAAGTGGAATATCAGCAAATTGTCGAACGTCTTTGTTGCACCTTCCCATTAATAGCCTACCAAGGCCCAAGACAAGATCTGAGCGGATTGAACTTTGTCCAGTATGTTTGCCTTAAAGACAAATAATACTCCTCGCTCGTCTTTCAAGGCATCATTGAAAATCTTGAACGTACACCAAGACTATTCCAACCTCGAGCTGCAGAATGCCCATTTCCCTGAAGTTAACTTGGCAAGACTAAGTCACAGCCCCGTCCTGCAGAGCATAATGATTACCTCCAGTCAACGAAACTTTCCATCAGTAAAGCATAGGGCAGAGTCTCTGAGATTACTTCGAACGTTAATAGATCACGTACGAGATGGTCTAAAAATCCTCTCCAATGTTCATTAGGCCATCAGCAGAATCATTATGGTATTATCCATGTGGTTCCCCGATTGGAGCCTCCAAATATAGGCACAGTTCGCAATCTAAGCAGCTTTACACAAACTCTGAACAAGAATATCGTTCTCTTTATGCAAGAGAAAGGCGTAAGTTCATTTTCGAGCAAAGATCGTGGCTACCACTTGAGGTTTTCAACGCAACTGCCTTCAATGGGGAGCTTTGGCAGGTACCCGCACCTAGGGCTATCCAATGCCTTGGCAAAATTGCTTCGTCCGATGATCTCATTCTCTGAAGATTTGCTTACCCTTAGAAAGTCATCAATGGGAAAGAGTTAGACAAGTAGTCTTGTGAGCGATTCTAGAAGGTGAATTCAAGGATCTAGGATTGTAAAAAATACAATTTCTAAAGTAATCGTATGTTGTCTCAGATTTGAGAAATCAAAGAAAAGGCGAAAATCACGAAGGTCACGTTGATTTACAGCAGGTCTGCCCGGTAGAGGCGAGCAAGCCTACCCATCTATCGATGAAATGAAGAGCAGGTATGGACATGGATCTAAAGGTCGTGGAACCTTCCCAATGCCGTCGAATAACGTGACGATATGAAGTCTGGCAGTCGAGCCATTTTCATCGTAAAGAGCACTAAGTATACTTCGGAGCTCTTCGCATGGTGAGGCGATCATAAAGAAATATTTACCGCCTGCGAACACTGTCAAGAACGCTTGACTCTTGCTAGTGACAATCTATGGAGCTTGTAATAGCAGTCGTGTCAAGCAAAAGCCACAAAAGCCTGATGATGAGAAGGAAACATACAAGTCGAGAACCCCAGTCCGCTGGCCATGACACCAGGCAGACATGGGAGGTGGCTCCTTCCTAGGTTCCTGCTCCAGGTAAGGTAGATGGCCAAAGAGGGACAGGAACAAGCTTTCAAGAACTCTTGTTTTGACGACGAAATGCTCCATAATCCGGGAATGCAGATCGCGGCGAACCGCTTGCAACGAGTAGAGGTTCAAGTGTCTGTTCGCAAAATGAATAATCAACGTAAGGCAGAAAAGAACCTAGACTTGGACAGGCAGATTGCTACCATGGCCTGTAGTTATCTTCCGTTCATTTTGGATAAAGCACCTGGCTGAGTATTCCGTGATGTAGGATTTAAACGATCCCCACCGTCTTACCTAGATCGAGAGCTCAGGATATTAGATTAGGCAGCCAGTTGACGCAGTGATCAAGGTTCGACAGCAAAGAAAGCTTATTTTCGACGATCCTCTCCTTCCTGAAACGGCGGGCTTCCATAACACCGATTACGGCGAGGGTTTACGAACACTTGATGTAGTTAGTGACTTTCGAGAAGTAAGCCACCCGTTTTTCTGCCGAGTCCCAGGGTGCAGTTGACGGAAGGCGTGCATTACTTCAACGGCCTGTCCTGAAAGCTGGCTGGGCCCCATCTAATGCGCATCTAATTTATGAATAACTGCTGTCGGAAATGCCAGGAAACCTGGCCGTCGTCTTCATTCCCCCATGTTCGTCAACAAAAGTTCCTAAGGAGCTGGCATGACTCGCAAATCGAGAAACCAAGAAGACTCTCCGATCAAGAATGCTACTCGGCATTTATCTGATCAAGTGCCCCTTGGTTGGACGCCCTCATCTTACTTGGCGTTCAGATTTCAAATTGAAGAAGATCGGGTATTGAACCAAAATCTCCTGAGTCACCATGTTTGACACACCATTTCCGAATGAACACCACTTCTTGGCTACTACCTTTTCTTTCAATGATGGAGAATTTCTCGACGTATGTGTACGTACCGCCATATTGAGTAACGTCGCAATTTCAATAGCTGCGGAGAGCTCTTGAGGCTCGACAATTGAGTAATAACCTTTTCTAGAGTACCTTGGCACCTGGTTCAGACACACACCCCAACGAATACAGCTCGATACAGGTAGCGGCATCTGATCAAGAGAGCTTTTTGAGTTCAGTCACGCAACCAAATCTTGCCGACAGCCACATCGAAGCTACATACGATGCGACAGATGGGAGGCACAGTGATAGCTGTCAACTTCCGGCTGTTGAGGGAGGCAATCTTAACCCCTGGCTGAATTTCTCTTTTGACACGGCGCCATCGACTTGCGCCACGGCTTGGGAGAAACACATATCTATTTGGCCTGGCGGCTCATTTGGCGCTTCTGCTAGTGATGTTTACCTCAATCTGAGCGAGACGAACAGTTGCGAACCTACCAACGTAGACGATGACTGGGTCCCTCAGGACGTCTTTGAGATGGGCTTCCAGGATGAGAATGGTGGCTGGCGGTGTAGCCATGCAGGATGTCGATCCAACACGGTATTCGAGAGAGCCTGTGATCTCCGAAAGCACCATTTGACACACACAAAGGCTTTCTTCTGCCTCCGTCCCGAGTGTGCGTCTTCAGGTGTCGGCTTCGCATACCAGAAAGACTACAGGCGTCACCTTCGCTCACATGAACCAACCATTTCTTGCCCTCATGCCTTCTGTAGCAGGGTATTTAGTCGGATGGATAACATGGTGTGTTTTTCCCATACTTAAATCTCCTGCTATCGTCCCTTTCTCACCTCTTTTGCTTTATTTTCCCTGGTATCTAACAATAGCCTTCAATGCAGAGGAATCACTTCAGTAAAATGCACGGGCGAAAAAGAAATACGCTGTTCGCTCGCCCTTGCCGGAATAGGGGCAAGAGGCGCTTGCAGTCCGCAGAGAACTGTCTGCAGGCGAAGGATGCAGTTTTCAACGCATACAAACCTGTCGAAGGCTGCCAGAAGTCTCAAAATCCCTAGCAGTGCATGTTTTCATTAGTCTTATATAACCTCAATTTTCGAGAGTAACTACACATGTATCGTCAAGCTTGTAGTAGAGAAAATTTGCGGCAGGCAGTTCGTGAATTGGAAAAACGCTTTGTTCTCTTTTTTACCTTACGATGAGAGCTTCGTCGGGTGAGATGCTCAGGTCTTTGAGCTCATATTTAGATTGAAAGAACTGAGGGGACAAGACACAATCGCAAAAAAAAAGCTCTGGACTATTGAAAGATAAAAGCCTTCCTCGAAACTTCAGCTGGAACGAATCAAAACAGACGCCCAGTGCTAGTAAAACATTCCCTCAACTCAACACTACATGTAGTCTCTAGACAGGCCGAGTACGTCCATCAGTCTGATACAAAGATGTGATCAACTAGAGTGTCCAGGGACAATCTGAACATCTCCTGGAAAAGACCTATATCCATGCTCCCTTGTCCAGTGAGTGAGAGCGCCAAAATTGTTGCACACGCGCATACCACCATCGCCAGGATACTTGTCCTTCTGTCGTTTGTAGATTAGCGTACCGTCGGCGTGGCAAAGGATCTCCTGACGGACAACGTCAACGCAGTGCATTGTGTGATAGTACGTTGCGTCGGAAAATGAGAACGCGGGGTCTTGATGAGCCTTAATGATCAACGACCTTAGCTGGCTCTGTAAAGGTTGGTTTCATTGATTAGTTGATCTTTCTATGTGCACCTTCAACAAACTCAGAACTTTGACTTACGAGGCAGTGAAGTTGGTGAAAGGCAGCCACAAGATATACACTCTTAGATGGGTCCTGGAACGCGCGCGCAGATTGGACCAGACCCAGAGATTTGACTTCATCGTCATTCAGAGCCACAATTCCGTCGCCTTCTAAAGTCGCGGTCATTAACGTTCTTGCGGGACATGTAGAGGTGATAGAAGGTTCTGTAAACGTACCAGGAAACAGTGATTTCCAGAACTCTGTAGCAATGGTAACATTATGATTAAGGAAGTCGTCGTCATAGTCCCAATACGTTTGGACTATGGTCTCCGGGTAGCTTTTCCCAGTTGAAGTCTTCACTGTTCAAAATTATTAGCATGACGACAAGTACTGCGAGGGGCTCCAGTAGCTTACAGAAGTACACTGGTTGGCTATCCTTTTGAGAGCGGTTGTTGAGCCCTACTACGAGAGAACCGGTGGCGATGAACAACACAAGAATCTGAAGTACAACCAATAACCACCATGCTGTCAAGGTTTTGTAGATAATAGGAGCACCCGAGCGGGTATAAACGTTGCTGTCTAGAAATGATTCGGCATCCTCACCAAAGCTTTGCTTCGAATCAGAAGCAGTTGGCGAGAGTTCCTCGTAATGACAATCTTTCTGCTGGTGTTCCATGGTCTAATAGAAAGAGCATGTAATAGTGTCATCAGTTCGTCACCAGCAAAAGGGGGGCTTGAGATCCACGTGCAGGCAAAATATCAGCCACGAGCCGAACGAGAAGAGAAGGCACGATTTGAAGACAACAATATAGCTGTGCTGAGGAGAACATTATCCGAGAAGTTATCGTAGTAAAGCACCCCGCAACCAAACCATTGAGGTCACTTTTGCAGCAGATCTAGGGCAATGCTCAGCAGTGCTTGCTTTGGACCCGTAATTTCCTAGACGTATTGGTGGCCTCACCTTTTCTTGCCAATGAGAGATACCCGAAGCCTGTCCAGTGAAGATCATAAGAGACTCAAATCAACTTTGGGTAGTCCGAGCAAGGTAATAGATCATAAAGACAGATCGTTTGCCTGGGGCGGTTCCGTCTATTGGGTGAGGCCACCAATACCAAGAGGCGGATGCTTTGTTGCCTTGGGCCTATCTATTACCTAGCTGAAATTTCTCATTAGAAAGACATCGGGAAAAGAATATTCTTATTAGGAACACTTCTTCAGTGATGAAAGAATTAAGAATACGTACGGTCGCATCTTTCCACTTAGGCGATGGCTCGGAATTTACTACAGCATTCCCAGCTACACTGTTCGAATAGCTCGATATCAACACTCTCGAGAAAGCATTAGCTGAACACCAATATGGAAGCCCAGGTCGAGATGAGACCTCATGATTTGATTGAGAATTCTCCCAGGAAAATCATATCAGATGTCAATGTCGACCCTGTTGAAGATGCGCCTACAAAAACTTCGGCAGAATTCTCATCCCGCAAGCCGGTGCCACGAATCTGGAACTTCAATGATGAATTCTGTCTTGCTGCCTTGAAGTCGGAGTGGTACAAGTCGTTGTTCGCCATCCAAAGCACCTTTTTTCACGCCTCAATCGACTTCTTCCGCGGCCCTCAGTACGACTACCGCTACCTCCTTGTCCCGCTCACTACCAGTAGCATTAGTTCGCCTATGGGCCTCGGCTCGGACTCGCAACCCGTGTCGATCGAGTTACACGGGGAGACCACATACTTGGCAGATTCGCAGCAGTTTCTCCTCGAATACGCCCTCCGCTATGATGATGACGTACCTGGCACCTACTACGTCGGTACCAGTTGCCGTGGAGAGGACCATGACAGCACTCACCTCAATCAATTTTATCATGTCGAGTGCGAACTCAGGGGTAGCTTGCAGGAAGGAATTAAAGTTGCCAATGAGTACATCATCTCCCTGACGAGGATTTTGTTAGAGAAACATGGCGACACCATCAAGTCTCTCGCTGGCTCAACGCGCCATATGACGGCCCTCCTGGAGCTCGCTACTAAAAATGGTGGCAATTTTCCAACGCTGACTTTGGACGAGGCACTCGCATTGCCAGAAATCAGGCATAACGAAGGCATTATGTGGGAATACACAGTTACGGGACGCCCTGAGTGTGGGTGTTCGCTGACACGAAGGGGTGAGCAGGCGTTGTTGAAGCGTTATGGCGGCGCTTGCTGGGTTGTCGAGATGCATCATCTCAGCGTGCCATTCTACCAAGCTTATTGCGATGGCTTAGACCGCAGCAAGGCTCGTTGTGGTGATTTTCTGCTCGGACTGGGAGAAGTCGTCGGCTGTGGCAACCGTCACACCACGGCCGAGGAGGCTTTGGTCGCTCTCGATCACCACGGTGTTGACCCGGCCGACTATGCCTGGTATGTGGATATGCGGAGGCTGAAGCCCCTCGAAACAACTGGATGGGGCATAGGATCTGAGCGGTTTCTTAGCTGGGTCTTGCAGCACGACGATGTTCGGGACATACAGTTGATACCCAGACTCAAGGGGCTGACTAGCACTCCGTGAAAGCTCTGGCGTCGGGGTCACCGTGATTATGTAAAGTAGAGTTCACTATCAGACATGAGGTTATTGATCGATTCAATATCTGTACATCAATAGTCTCTTAGAACGTGGATATGTTGTTGTCCATGATATTTAAGTTTTATGATTGTAGAGTTCGTAAAGCTGGTGCGATCGTCTCTTACCTTACGCAATCGTTCTCCCCCGGATACGACATAGTCACGATGACATCTCAGCACCTCTACAGGGGGCTTGAGCTCATGCGAAGATTGAATGATCATCCAACGTAAACTAGCGAGAGGCAATTTTGGTCTGGACTCAGCTCTAGGATCTGTTCCGATTGTACGGAGTCGCATCATGAAAATCTCGAAGACAGCTGCCTAAAATAAATAGTCTGCCCCACTCTTCACCGCCTCGAAAGGCCGGACATAAGGTTCGGCCAGCTTCCAGCATTAACGGGATCGATATGGTGAAATGGGATGTTAGCTTATGTTTTTGGTTACTCCTGGTGAGTCGCGACAGGAGCGTCGAGCAAAAAGACAAGTCGACTTGGCTCAGTACCATAAGAGTCCAAGTTCCCATGAACTTTTTCTACAATCGAGGTGGGTAGAAGGCGCTCAAAATCAAACACCCCTTTGTTTTCCCTCATCATTCCAGAAGCTACTGTTTTCTCTCATTCGTGGCGTGGTATCTCAAACTTCCCGATGATGGCTTCCATTCGACCGCCAATTACGCCGAAGCCTCTCCCAATCATTCATCTAAACGGCTTCCCAGGCAGCGGCAAGCTCACTATCGCGAAGGCTCTACAACAGCAGCTCGGTCCATATTGTCGGCTAGTTCATAACCATTTACTTATCAACCCTGCGGACGCGGTGTTACATCGCTCTGAAGCAGGCTACCAAGACCTACGGCGCGCTCTCCGCAAAGCCATCTTTACGTCGCTAGTCGAAAGTCCAGCCAGCCAAGACTTCGTCTACGTTTTTACCGACTTCCAATCCAATGATGACGTAGGAAGCGCCGTATGTGCTGAGTATCTTGAGACAGCGCGTGTTCGCGGCACAGCGATGGTGTCCATTATCATCACTTGCGACGAAGCTACCAATATATCCCGCCTACAGTCTGCTGATCGCGAGGTGCATCACAAGATCGTAGACCCGGAACTACTACGCATGTTCCGTAATGGCGTCAGTATTCATCGCTTTGATGCGCCAGGAACGGAGAGCATAGAGGTTGATGTCACTGAATTAACTCCGATCGAAGCTGCGAGACGGATACTGGACCATATTCTGAGGGTCTGTCCAGATGTCGAAAGGGCGGTAGCGTCAAGCAAATTTCAGTGAAGTAAGTAGGGCAAATCTATCTCCCGTAATATTTTCAAAGGGAATGAAATTCGCAAAGTGTCTTCTTTTGAATGCAACTGAGTTTTGAATGGTAATTGAGAGGTGAGATGGCAGGCGGTGGAGGACACGTACTTGGAGCCGGGGCAAGATGATAGTTCGGACTGGGTCCAAGGCCGCTCATCAATCGTATCGCTGGGATTATTTCCGTCAAACCTGAACACAGACTATGCACTACCTCCTAGTTACATACTCCTGGAGAAAGAATTTCGTGCGTGTGCAGAAGGTTGGCGAGAAGACTAAGTCCGATGGTTTCGATAGCGAATTCACGACAAATTTCCTGACATAAACTCAAATAAAATGCTCGTTTGTTTTGGAGCTAAAGACTTTCGAGCTTGATCCAAAGCAGCTAAAATTAAGCTTAAATCAGATTCCATCTATTGTGTTTTAACGAAGTTCGACGGAGTCCGCTATGGCCTGAGACTTGGACTACTTGGAAGTCAATAACAAACCCGATTGGGAACTTTTGTGCTGTGTGGAATCGTCCCAGCGAGTGAACGGCAAGCACAATGATCTTTACATTGGTTGATGACAGCAATAAGCCCACGCACTGCAAATTACCGCAAGCGCGTTCGCCGATGCGGTGCTTTAGTAGCATCTATGTCTTTATTGCATGCTACCTTAGTCCAGAGTCTTCTTTATAGGAAGCGCCAAGATCGATACTAACGCCTCTCCCACTTAACAGTAGCCCGCTTGACGCAATGAATACCCATCAGGGATGACTTGAATGTTGCCGAAGCTAAGGCCACAATTGCTGTTAGCGTTGACGGTGTAGCCTGCTCGTCTGGTAGAATCGTAGATGTTGGCGTAGTAGTTCATCTGCACACAACCAGTGCCCACGACTGCTTGATTGATGTTGAGAAGCTCGGCCTGGCAACCGGCAGCGGCGGCGAGGCTAATATAGCCTGTAATAAGGTAGATGGCGGCAGTGATCTTCATTGCGGGCTCGTGATTTCTGGTATCATACGATCAGCTTCTTGGGACCCTTCGAGTTTTGATGCACTATCAGCGTTGTTCACCTTTGGCTTAGAATATTGTCTCTAACGAAATGGCATGAAAAGTTGCTTGGGTAACTGAGATCTCTAACGTTGGTACTGGAACCTGCTTGTTCTTGTAGTTTCCCGTGGGGGCAACTACCTAAGTAGTGATCACATATACTCATGTCACAAGACGCTCGCCAAGGGGTTGACGCCTAGGACATGGTCCCATGGAGGCTCTTTAATGGACCCAACAAGGAGCCGAGACTAATGACGGCTTCTCAGGCTGTTCTGACCCAACCGGAATCATTCTTACATATTGCAAAAGGAGGCCGTTTTTTTCTTTCTCTGGGAACGCACGAATCATTCAATTTTCGCAGCCATGAGGTAACTGGGGTGGGAGCCGCCTGTTCTCCCAATTTCTTCCTTCATGACACACGCAACCGCATGAACAGAGATCGTGACGGCCATATCGGCACTAACGGCAAACTCCCACCGAAAGATTGCAGTCGTACGCCCTTGGCTAATATACGGGACTTTGCAATATTAGCTGAATGGGAAATATTGAAGTCATTGACCCCATGTGCGCCCATGTTTAATTTACTACATGTGAGTCTGATGGGCCCTCGATGTAAACCATATGTCGGGTACAGAGAACTACCACGAGCTCATTTGGAGGTGAACTAGGGTTAAAGAGTGAATTTAAGTTATAGATACCACTGCTTTATAATTCCAGTGGAAAGCATTGCCAGAAGAGGGTATCCGTAGCAAGGTACGCCATGAAAACATCACCAATTGTGTCAATTACCGCTCTAGTGGTCTTAATCCGCTTTTACTACACAATCGCTGACTTTGTCTACTAGTGCTAACTATGACCTTCGTGTCTGTCCAGATAGATCGCTCAGCTGTCTTATTCTGCTTCTAGGTACAATGGCACCCCACTATACTCCGAACAATAGACCGTAATAGAGGGGGTCAGTCTGAATCGTCCCCTGAAATCACAGTCCTACTAGATGCTGAGCCCCTGTTAGGCGACCCGGGGACGAGTCAGGGCTAATTTTGACTCATGTGGACCAGCCTAGAGTCAGCCTGCTTGCAAGTACAACCCAAAAAAGCTGAGGTCAGAGCTCTCTCAGGCTTAATGGTCCTGGGCTAAGGCGGAGCGCTTTAAGACCAAAATCACGATTGGTGGTCTAATCTAGAACTTGAAAGACGTGTTGCTGGAAGATTAGCTGAATACTAGTCAATCCTACAGAAAGCAATGAGCCGCAACTGTTTCATTGCCAGCAGGAGGCTTGGAACTCCCCAAGGACAATGATTCTGGTACGCATTTGCTCAGCGCGGACAGATTCCGAAGTTCCACGCAAGTTTTTAAAGTACAGTGGCTGGATCTGGATCTGTTCCACAACAAGCAGGAGTTGGCAATTAAACTTACTTTCAGGTACGATATATTCCATCCGTACCTACGGAGTGCTCCGGACTTGTGGATCTATTCAGTGCTACACCCTGCCAGCAACTGAGCTTCCGGCTTAATGTTTTACGAAAAACACATGCAGCACTGGCGTGACACGAAGCTCCATCATTAGGCCGCTACTCCCGCTCGACTCGAAAACCCTCGGAACTGCCCCGTCGACACTGGGCTTTCCTTAGCTTCGTTCAGATGACCAAAATGGAGCTGTAGAGGGTGATGCACTGTTTCACTCACTAAAGCACTGTCTTCAACGTGTGTAGTTGTCGAAGCCTCATCATCGGTCCGCGCTTGACAGCGGGCTGGCCGGCGACATTACCGGCCCAGCCATGGGCTTTTATTGGTGGAATTACAAGCCCACTCCTGTTGATGCTGGTCTTAGATCGGCCCTCTGGGAACTGGTGGAATTGGAACCGATAGCTTGGTCGTGCGCGTGTTGAAAATACGCTTCTCGTTCACTTGCTCGTTCTTGTTGTCTCTGTGTTGGCACCTGGAGATGCTAGTCTTTAGCTACCGATGGCTTTGAGCCAACCAGGCACACTGCTTCGGGCATCTGCCGATTAAACTAGGATCGTGACCGGCTCCAGCGCTTACATGCTACGCCGCTAGAGAGTAGTATGCAGATAATTCGTAAAGATTATGATAAGATGAAGAAGGAAAGTGAAAGTTAAGAAGACCGTCTTGGGTAAGATAAGACAAGAGAAGGCGGCTGTCTAGGATGAGCCGACATAAAGCCTAGACAGACCTGAACCAAAACGGTGAGTAGCATCCACCAGGTAAGTCGCACTATAATCTACTTTGATCTTTCTCTCGGGGTCGTGAAAATAGTTCCCCGGTAGTGTCAATATTTGGCTCATCACAAACCGTCGTCGGTCTCTTCATCATCGATGAGATTGTCCATTTCAACCACCATATCGGAATATTCAGCAGGGTTTGAGGTTCTGTCCAATCGCTGTTCCGGAACCCAAGAAAATGCCAAGGTGATGCCCAGAGAGGAAACGAGGAGAATGCCGAAGAGCACAACGAATCCCCACTGATAAGCTTGCATGACTTGTCCTTCATTAGCACACAATCTACACGAACCGGTGCCCAACTTGTAGGTGGCACTCACCTTCGGACTGAATATCACCATCCAAGGTCCTCAGGTTGTCGATGTTGAGCCGTGTCGCCTCGACCATCTGAATTCAATGTCAGGCAAGTGTTTTCTTTGAAAGTCTCAGTGTGTGAGCCAGGGCATACCTTGGCTGTCTCATCGTCCATGCTCATTGTTTCCAGCACGCCCCGAGACACGTTCTGTAATATTGCCGTACTCAGGGACGTGGCGATAAAAACGCCGAGGGATCTCATCATGATAAAACCCCCATTCATAACGGCATGATCACGTTGAGCACATAGACTTAGTAGTGTCAACAACGCACTGGGAGCCATCATTCCCACCCCAAGGGAAGGTGTTATGAGGCAAAGGCCATACAAAGAATTTGAGACTTTGGTAGCCGGCAATACAGCAGCCATGACCACAAGCCCCAAAGTACCTATGAGTAAGAGCACCTGACTCAAGAGCAATGTGTGCTTCGGAGTACCTAATCGTGCGATCGTCGTTCCTGCAAGCGCGCTTATTGCCGTGAATGCAATTGATGGTATGGCAACATGCGCGCTTGCGTCGCCTGCTGACTCCAACCGGACGGCTTGAAAGAAGAATGGTATGTTGTACATGACCTGAGTAGGGGCACGTCAGGAGATAAATTTCAGCTGCGTGGAGTAAACGTTTTGATATTATGCAAGGTTCACTCACACAGTAATTTATCATGGAAAAAGTCAAGGCACTACCCATGATATTTCTGAAGGGAAACTCAAGCATCAAAGGTGGGAGAACAGGTTTCAAGGCTGTTGCTTCCACGCGCAGTAACACGAAGCACATCGCTCCGAATAAAGTGGACGCCCCCAGAATCAAAGGACTTGTCCAAGACAATACATTGCCCCCTGTCCCAAATACGAAAAGAAGGCAAAGTAGAGACGCAATCTACGCACCGATTAATAAGTGGAATGTTGCCAGAAATGGTATCACGAGCCAACTTACAAGCAATAGTGAGCCTCTCCAGTCAAAAGTCTGACACAGGTTGACAAGGCTTAACTTTCCCTTGTCTGAAGACCTACTGGAGGAATCCTCGATGCTTGAGGGTATCCAAAGGTACACCATGACCGCAGAAAGAAGGCATAATGGAAGTTGAATTTCATACACAAAGTTCCAGCCGAATCGCTCGACGATGGCACCGCCCGAGACTGAACCTAGCCTACAAATAGTTTCAAGTCAGTCTGAGCCATTCAAGATGAGGACCACGTCTCCTTACGCTGAGCCGGCGCCGTAGTTGACGTAGTTTAGCGATTGATAATGGCCTCTACTCTGAATGCCGACAAGATCTGTCAATACGATAGATCCTACTGGGCTGTGAGCTAAGCTATCAAGGCGCAAGGGCTTATACCAAAATATTTCTAGCTAAGAAACGTACCCATTGTCATCAGCCCGGCAACGGCAAGGCCGCAGATGCATCTTGCCAATATGAGCCCTGTCCAAGATGTCGTAAACGCAGCTAGGCACAAGCCGACAAAGAATAAGGCTGCGGTTGAGGTATATATTACACGGCGGCCTATACAATCCGAAAGGCTGGCGTACAGAGGTTGAACAGCGATAGAACAGACCAGGAAGGCATTGACTGGCCACGTTGAGATGTTGGTCTTGTCGAATTGAGAGGCGATGGCTAAATGTGATGATGATGACAACCCAGAGTCGACCGCCGTTACCTAAGTATTGTGTTAGTTATCATTATAGTTGCAAGTGTTAATGCATACAAGTGAAAACTACTCACAAAGTTGGAAACGAGGATGGCTAAGTTTACGTTAACGATATGTCACCTTTGAGACAGCTGTCTTGTTGGAGGATGATTGGTATTTTGGCAATCTAGAATGCAAGAAACCTACCGGCAATACTTAGGTAGAAGTTGAGATTCTCAGTTTTTCTAGCGCTGCTCATATTGCATTCTACCTGGACAATCATCTTCGTACTAGAGTTGACAATCAGATAGTCGACGTGGGTAGGACGTGACCGAAAAGTTCATCAGAGTACAAGAGAAAGCGAACAAGAAACTGGAGTATGACTTGGAAGAATGACGAATCACAAATTTATTCAGCACACAAGGTCTAAGCCTTCCTCGCTCTCATCGCCTATTTGACGTTCGTTTGATGACACTCTAGCTTGGTACGCAACCTCTCTGCCGTGACGCAGAGAGGTTCGAGGTCCAAAATCCTCCGGCCCAGCGCGCTCGTCAGACCCAATTGGCCGATATTGTCAGACTGAAATGGGGCGGCGTTGGGCCAGTGATGTTTATCATGGGTGAAACAGAGCAACATGAGATCGTCGTGGAATGGATCCGCGGCGATAGCCCAGTGCAGCGGTGTCTGTAAGGCCACCCGTAAGCCGCGGCTTAAGGCGGCCCAGACCCCGGCCACGATAGCCCGGAATTCGACCGCTGGTGCTAAGAGGAACCCGGAGGAGCGCCGGGGCACGGACGACTGCCACGAATCTATTACCACTTGCAAAGGCTCGACCGTTTTGTCAATCTTGATATGGGCTCTGAAAGCCGAATCTTCCTTCAAGTCAGTTGATGCCGGAGATATGCTGCCTGTGCTACGAATGCCGAACAAGTGGCCGCCTCTACCACCTGTGAACGTCACCATAGCCACACTGTCGGCGCCGCCGAGACTCAGCAGGGCTTTCGCAACACGCCTAAGCGAACCAAAGAGATTCTCCACCTGCTTCTGGTCCATTGCAATCAGGCTTGTGTCTTTGAGGCAGAAGGTGAGTTGACCTTGCCGTGTTGGATGCTTCGATACCCCGACTCGGACCAGGTCGTCTTCAAAACAGCAAAGTGGCGCAATGATGGGCATTGTGCAGCCTATCAACCCATATTGGAGGCTAGACCCAAGCCCTGCCGAGCCGATAGCGAAGAGCCTGCTGTTGCATTGCGCCGTCTGCTTGCCATCCGCGGTGATGGCGATAATACCACAAGACAGAGAGGGACACGTGCCAGTGGCATCCCACATGGCCTTCTTCACAGCTGTCTCAAGCTTGAGGCCGCTGCGGTACAGATTTGCAACGCGACTAGCCAGCATGGACGTCAGAATGGCTTCACCTCCGCCACTGCTGTGTACGAATATCAATATTAGTCGAGAAAACAAGCAGGAAACACAAGCACTCACCATGCCACGGCGATTTGTTGATCGGCGTACAATCCAGCGCCTGAAATGGCGGTATCGCCGATTCTTCCAGGATATTTAAACATCATGCCTCCGGTTGAATTAGCCGCAGCTAAGTGGCCATGTAAGTCCAGAACAACCGCACCAACGGTACCATGTTCAAGGACTTCCGCTCTGTGTTTTTGCCAGTAATCCAGGCGCCTCTCCGTTGTAAAGAAAGTGTTAGCCACCATATCTAAGCCAAGGCGGCTGGCGAGCTTATCGGCTCCTTCTCCTGCCATGAAGACAGGTGTGTGTGCATCGCTAGAGTCAAGCATGGCCCTGGCTAGCTTGATGGGGTTCCTTGTATTTTGGAGACATGTTACAGCTCGGTAAGCAGCCGTCCTGCCGTTGATGATCCCAGCCTCAAGCTTGCAATCAGAATAGTTAGCATGGCATGCATACGACAAGTCGATCTGGATCATGTTATAAGTGATTCGTACCTCGTGAACGCCGTCTCGATTGACAGCCGCTCCTCTGCCAGCATTGAACTCGGGGAAGTCCTCGAGCTCTGCTACTATCTCAGTAGCTACATCGACAGCTTTGAAACCAGCCCGGAGGCGCTTCTCGGCCTTGATCACAAGGCTCTTCAAGAAAGCCCTGGTGGTAGCATGCGAGGCTTCGTCCCCTATCCATGATTCCGATGCACCTCCATGAAGAATAATCCCAGTTCGTGTGTCCATGTTTCCGTTCCCACAGACGTAAGAGGCAATGGAACATTCCAGCACGTACGAATAGGGGGTTTTCATGACGTTTTATGCCAGTCCTTGAGGGTCGAACCAACGAAGGCAATCTTCCAAGTTACGTAGACATGCTGCATGCACGTACATAGTAGTGTTCACACTCTTGTTACCTCAAAGAGAGTGGAGTCATCTTCTAGCTCAAAAATAACTCAGTACGTGACAGAAGCTCATCTAGCAAAAGGATAAGGGCTCGACTCGTGCCAATTTCTTGCTGCAAGGCCGCCACTTCCGTGAGACGATCGCCATGTTGCGCTTCTTGTTACTACTGGCCTTACAGGTCCCATCCTATTCCTCTGAATCCTCAGAAGGCCTGAACGTACAGACCAAATGTATATAACCCAGGACAAACGACACGAAATCACTAGCCAAGCGATCGAGATCAGCGTCATTCCAGCACTCTCAACCTTACTATACTTACCATTCAATATAACCTAAACCCCATAGAAGACTCGCACTCCCAGTCACCAATTCACCATCAAAATGCATATCTCCATGGCTCTTGTTGCCGGCATTGCTGCCTGCGCCGCCGCAATTCCAGTCAACTCTGCGCGTGTGGGTTAAAGTGCCTAGCTTGCAATGTAGTTCAACGAATGAGAATACTGACCGGGAACTTCAGACCATCGACACCGTTGCCAACGAACTCGCCTGCGTTGCTCGGGGCGACATGGCTTGCGCTGGGGTACGAAACTCGTTACTATAAGTCGGGAGAAATTTGACCAATGCTAATTACTTCAGATTGCCTCCAAGCGAACCGCAACCGATCTGGCTAACGAACTTGTCTGCGTTGCTCGTGGCGATATGGCTTGTGCCGGTGTAAGCATTTGAACCTTGCTCAAGCAGTCTAAGTTTAGAACTCCACTAACGAAGACACTGCCACTAAGCACGTCGAGAAACGTGACCCCGAGATTGAACAGCTCGCGAACGAGCTTTCTTGCGTCGCTCGTGGCGACATGGCTTGCGCCGGCGTGAGTTGAAGATCCCAACACATGTCCTTATATACATGTGCAGAACCTCGTCAGCTAACCGCCTGGCTTTTCAGCTGGCCAGCCAGAAACGCGCCGTCGAGGCAGCCATTAACAAGCTCCCCAGTGATGCCCAGCCTGACGGAGCTTGCCTAGTAAGTTTTATCATATTCAACCTCCTCACTCAGAAGTCAAAACTCGTACTAAACCTTCTTCAAGCTCAATGCCAAGTCTATCAGCACTGACTTCTCCAACGAACTCTGCTGCGCTGCCCAAGGTGATATGGCTTGCGCTGGTGTAAGCTTTTCTCCGTAAAACGCCATATTGTCATCCTCACAAGTATCTAATCTGTAAATAGCTCGTCGCCAAGAAGCGAGACACCGCTGAAGTTGCTAACGAACTTGCTTGCGTTGCTCGTGGTGATATGGCCTGCGCTGGCGTAAGTCACCTTAATACATTAATACATGAAGAGAATCTAAGAGCTGATGTATTCTTTTCATAGGTCGTTGCCTGAAAACCTCCACCAAATATGTGGTCAAAGGGCTACTAGCCGACGCTTATGTTCGACTTCCATACTCACGTAGGGCGGACAAGAACAATACCAAACCGAGTAAGAAAGGCCGCGTAAAGGGGAAACATTGTTCTCTTCTTCATCTTCGGATCTCTTCATTTTGATTTCTCTTCATCAATAAAGTGTTTCATTTGGGAAAAAGAAAATGGAAAAAAAAACTTGTACCAGGTATCCTTGTGGTGACTACCGTCTATGTAGCATAACAGAATTTGCAGTGGCTACCCTTGTTGACACTGAATCACCAGCTCATTTAACGTTGCCGGAGGCCCGGTTCAAGGTACAAGAATAGATCATTCCAACTTTGCACAGCTCATCCCTCATCCCTCATAAAGAGCAAGTGATACAGATACATCAATCCAGAATCTCTAAAAAGATGAATGGCCTGTAATTCAAGGGAGGTTCTCTACTGCTACCTCTGAGCGAAGGGCAGTGAGCTTTGCAGATGTCGCCTTCAAGATTGGTCTAGAAAGGCGGAGCATTATGCCGAACGAACGAAAAGACGCCATTGCCAACTATACCCCCATGGTTTGGGGTTCAAGATCACTTAGCGTCAAAGATCAACCTCCGGTTCCCGATCCCTCTGTCCCAAGCAGCTCGTCCGTTGCGGCTAAAGAATTCCAGCTCGATTTCGCTAAATACGACGATGAAAATCTGGTGATATGACGTGCGCCGGAGCAAGTCTCCTCAGAGCCGCCCCCATCCGTTGGGAGGGAGATTCAAGCTTGTCGCCAAGCGTGACGTCGACTCCGTCAACGAACTTTACTGTGTCACCCGAGTTGACATTGCCCGTGCTGGTGTAAGTCATCATTCACGTAAATCCGCATGGTTTGAGAGCATAGATCTGGTCATTTCCCAACAGCTTGTTGCCCGGAAGGCCTGACCATAGTTTCGGCCCAAGAGGGAGCCACGCCGTCCGCAGGTCCACAATTGCCTGCCGCATGAGAGTATCTTCCAAAGTACCGAGGAGAACGTTTCCAAATCTACTGGGGAAGACTTCGCCACAGGGAGATATACCTCTTCGGCGTGGCCTTGAAATGAGGCCTCGGTTATATTTACGAACTGACTGGCTTGGGAAGCCATGATGGCGTTTCCATAGCATGACAAATAACAATCATGGATTGATCATCACTACACGTTGTTCATGTCTTTGGATCGCGGCTAAAGACATTTCCCGAGTTCCCGTAAGCGACTTATTCAAACCGAACGTAGTTGTGAGCTTGACCTTGGGCTTGAAGCAACCCTCAGGTAGTTTTGGTTGTCTGGGAAAAGGAATGAGGAGTCACCAAGGCTTCCATAACTTTTTATATTTCGAGAACAAGTTTAAACCGGTGTCAGATTTGGCGCCGTCGCATGTGCCTAAATGACCAACAGGTAGAAACCACGTGGTCCGAGCAGTCTCGACTTACACGAAGACAGATCTTCTGGAGTAGAAAAACGAGCTTCCAATTGTTGTTCGTCAATGACAATCAACAGCTGTGGCTATACGTCTCAGTGAAGATTCTCTGTGTCTTTAGAGGCCGCCAGTGCACACACCTCGCTGGAGACTTTGATCCGGTGACTGAAGCCTGCCTCATGCCAACTGTTGTGGCTGCATCAGTGCATAGTGCTTACCACTGCAGTCGCTACAGATAGATGCATGGTGCGCTAGGATGCGCCAGGCCCACGTTGTTCAGTTGACTGGTTTCTTAGTTACTAGAACAAGACTTTGGCGGCAGCTACCCATTGGCCAAACCACCTCGAATTGAGGTGGTGATATGCAGGCTGTGAAGGATCGCTGCTAGCTGCATGAGATGGCATGCAAAGTGTATCTACCCCCTCTTTACCGATGGCCAGCCTGCCTTATTGTCGTGAATGACCACAGCGGGCCGCGTACAATATCCTGCTTCAGGCCAGCCAAGCGATCAACGATTTCTCCTTGCTGTCGCCCAAGGTCCCGGGTCTCCTCATGCAATTCTATCGGCCAGATCTTGTCCGAAATTCTTCAAGATGGAGAGTCCAGTTGATAAACCAAGATATCAGTATCGAGATCTTGACTGGACCGCAAAGGAGATTCGCGTAGTCGAGCTTCTCCCCGGTACCTTTCAAGAGAGAATCCGCGTCAAGTTCCACCACGTCGCTCTAGCACCGAGGAGACCTTCCGCGATCAGATTGCCCCCGAGTCGCGATGAGATTCAAAAGACCCTTCCATCAGACTGGATTGTCCGGGTCTGTCTCGACGGTCGCTTCATCTTCGAGCGCATCAAGGACTACGAACCAGAAGAGCCCTACGAGACATCCTGGCTGCACCCCGTGACGGGCGTCGATCCGAACGTGAGCTTCGACGACAACAAGCTCGAGTACGAAGGCTTATCATACGTCTGGGCACCTGAAGGCAGCGAGGAAGATGCTCTTGTCTTGGAACCCACGGCTCCGTCCACGGGCGCGGCTTCGTCGAGCCTCAGCATCAGGCCGAACCTCGCCGCGGCCCTCCGTCACCTGCGATACCGCGATATTCCCAGGCGCATGTGGATCGACGCGCTATGTATCAACCAGACCGACCTCGAGGAGCGCAACAAGCAGGTTCACATCATGTGCGACATCTACCGCCGCGCAAGTCACGTCGTCGTCTGGCTAGGACCGGAGAGGGAAGACAGCAAGATCGCCATGGCTGCTCTGCGGCATCTCGGCGAGCAGGCCGTCTACACCGAGCGCGGGGCGTGGAGAACGAATCCGCCCGGTTGTAGCAACCCGGAGCTGGCTCGCGCGTCGGTGCCGCTTCCGTACGACGAGCAGACCTGGAGATCCATTACCAGTCTGCTGCAGCGTTCCTGGTTCGAGCGTCTTTGGGTATGGCAAGAGGTTCGTCTAGCTGATGAGCGCTCTTTTATGCTCTGCGGCCCCGATAGTATCTCGCTCTCTCTGTTCCGTCGCGCAATCTTCTGTGCCAGCGATAAGAAGTTCCTTCCGAGTAACGAGGTGCGGGGGCTGATTCTCGATGCTGTCGAGGTGATGCTGCCATTCTCCAATCAGCCCTTCTTTCGGGAGCTGCAGACCCTCAACTGGAAGGGGTGTGCGAATCCCCGAGATAAGATTTACGGAGCACTGGGGGCTGCTCCGGCGGCGATCAGGGAGCGCATCACGCCAGACTATTCCCTGCCAGTTGAGAAGGTCTATGACCATTTCTGCAAGGCCTACCTCGAGTGTCTGAGGAGGCTGGACTTTCTTGACCGCTGCAACATCGATGCTCGTGAGATCAACGGGCCTACATGGGTTCCAGATTGGTCCGTTCCCGTCGATAGAGCAGTACGGCTTCCGTATGCCGATATCTTCTATGCAGCCGGAGCTTCAGCGGCAGAAGTCAACTTCAAGGCTGAACGTGGTGTAGACGATGATAAGATTATGGAAGCCGCGGGAGTCCCTTGCGGTACTGTATCATTCGTAGGTCAAAAGTCGCCCCCTGACTCCGCCGGTCTCCTTGCCGCCGTAAAAACATGGGAAGCGGAAGCACTCTTGATAGAGCGATACGCACCGACAAACGAGAGAGCCATAGATGCTTTTGTCACCCTTCTCGGGCTGGGATACATGATTGAGAGGTGGCCCCAGTGCAACAGTCTTCTCACAGTACCCGAAGCGGCAGATCTCTACGGCAAGGAGTTCATCAATGCCAAAGGCGATGCAGTCTCCCATGAGTCGCTCAATTTTATCAGAGTGCGGCACCGGTACTTCATCAAGACAGACACGGGATACATGGGTACATCCCATGCACGGCCAGAGATCGGAGACAAGCTTGTAGTCTTGCTAGGTTGTCCGTCACCGTTGCTGATACGGCCAGATCCGGCATCGAATTCAGAGGAACAACGGTACAGGGTCGTAGGAGCGACGTACACTCATGGCCTAATGGATACGGAGGCACTGCTCGGCCCCTTGCCGGAGGGCTGGAGGGTGCGTATGGCTAGAGAGTCTGGCTTCTTTGATTCCATGCATTTCTTCTCAATAACCGCGGACAAGACGACAAAGGAAGATCCGAGACTCGGCGAAGACCCGTCAGGCTGGGAGAGGCTTGAGACTGTGAGGACGGGAAGTGACCCGTGGAACTTTGCTCGATATCGGAGTCGGCAAACACGGGAAGTTATCAACTCGGATCCAAGGTTGACGGTGGACGCCCTGAAGTCACGCGGTGTTCGTGTAGAATGTTATAGCTTGGTGTAAGCCTGGCCACAACTCACATCTAGACTGAGGTTCGATCGTGGGCTCCGTATTCTCACCGTTGGTTTTATTCTCGGAAACATGATTGTATTGGAAAGAACTCATTATAACTTCAATCGCTTCACGATACCACTTTGTAATCAACGGGCATTATTATTATTATAAGGAGAGTTTCACCGTCAAATGCAAATGTATCTTGCTCACTATCCGAGCAGTAAGCCGCTCTGAGCAGTTTAAGCCGACAACATGATAGATGCGAGGTTCTATTTGTTCCACACTTTGCGATTGTCAACCTGCTCGCCTCACATTGACAGGTAGTACCTTCCTCACACAGTCGGGGCGAGGGCATGATTGCCTGCCTGGCCAACTTACTATACTCTGACCTTAGTGAATCATACCATGTTCGTCGCCCACATGGACACAATATGCCACAAGCAAAGCCTATATATACCCTCTCGATCCTATTCCCATCACCAGCAACAGCAGGCGCCCCTCTAGGTCGGGGGGTCAGGACAAACTGGCTGGGTGGTGGAATGGTGCAACAATCGATTGCCCCCTTCAGCCTATCCGACCGCCAAGATGTGAAGCCATACTGGTGGTGAACTCTTTTTGATGTACTGATCAACTAGCTACTCTTTTGTGGTCCTGCCTATCTCCCTCTCTTTGTACTTGACTCATGGAGATGTTCATTTCTATAGGGCATACGTATATCTCTTGACACAGTAGAAAAGGTCTGGGAGAACCTTCGTTTGCTCCTC